ATATATATATATATATGTATATATATATATATATATATATATATATATATATATACAAATAAACTATAACACAGGAGATAAAGAACAAGCATTCCTTCGGCCTTTTAGTCTTCAAATCCTGATCAAAGGGCGGCACCCAAAGGGCTTCACCGTTAGTCTATTGACAGCAGGTGTTTCTGATCCGTGGAAAAGAGAATACGGCGGTGCCTCACAAAGTAACATTTATTGATTATCATCCACGACCCCCCCCCCCCCCACCACCACCAGCATTCGGGGTTTAGTAGCGGACACCCAGTTCAGAAATATAAGAAGATAAAGATTTGGAGAATTAATTTAAACATCATATTTCACTTTCAATATATTTGGCGTGATCCTTACTTACAGCGGGTTAGAGTCACTCTGTTATGTTGCTATACAACCATTGGCCAATGCTGTATGTTAAGTAAACACTTCAACCAAGGAAACTGACCAGTGTTCCCAGCGCCTTCTAGATCCTTCCATAATAACCTAAAACAGGTGAGGAAAACAGGGTAGGAATCAAGCGAATTAATAAATAGACGGAATGGGAAGAACTGCGGTTTGTGTTTCGTGTAATTCGCTCATTTTAATATTTTTTCTCCCTGTGATACTCGTGAAACTTGTTCATTGTCATATCACCAGGAACTACATTCTATGATATAAAATCTACGCTTAAAGAAAAACAAGCGACGTTGCTTATTGGTATTATGATCGTCGTAGAATCATACAAACGAATTTGAATGATGCTTAACTATAAAGAGGACCTTGTGAGAATACTGTTTTGTTGGAGAACTTTATCTAATCAAATCGTTCGTAATAAAATCTGGTCTAGATCTGGCATCTCTTATATTCCAAAGAAAAGAAAACAGACATTTGCTTACAAATTGAAAAATATGAACAAATAGGCCTTACTAAATCTGCTATATATCTAATACGAGAATAAAACAGAATCATTTCCGTGTTAGTGTAGTTAACTGTAGTTAAATTATCCCAACAGGAAAATCACAATGACTTGCAATAAGTGGAGGATTTTCCGTTAACTTTGAAGGCATATAGCTACATTTGCGTTCCAGTCGTTACGTAAAATCTCAGTATCAAAGAATATCTTCGAATATTTATTCCTTGTTATCTGAAACTTATTTGTTATTTCTCCTTTGTTATTTCCCTCCGCGTCCCTGTAGGCTTCATCCCGCCTCCACCTGCTGCATGAACTATTCCTCCTTGTCTTTGCTCCGCCGCCGCACGGCCCGCGAGACTGACCGTGTGAGGCGCTTCAGCAGCACGAAGCAGACGCAGACGCCCAGCAGGAGGGCCGCTAGGACGTCCAGCATGAGGAACTCGACCCACGAAAGGTCCGCCGCGGGGCACCTCAGCCTCGGGGCGCCTTTGTGGCGGATCACGTACTCGGTCCAGAAGACGGCGCGGTCCTTCGGCGACGTCAGCTGGTCGCGCATCGCCCGCGAGACCTCGGCGGCGCCCCGTCGGTATCTGGGGAGGCGCCTGGCTGCCTGAGATGCACTCTTCATACTTAAATACATGTTTATGTGTGTGCGGGTGGGTGGGAGTGGGTGTGTGTGTGTGTGTGCGTGCTTCCGTGTGTGTTTGTTGGTGTATGTGTTTGATTGTTTGTTTGTGTGTTGTTTTTTACCTGAGTGTGTGCGCATGTGTTTCTGTATGTTTATTTCATGAATATTGCTTATATATAAACATAGAGTCGCGTATGTGCATGTACATAAGTATAGACAAACAGATGGGCAGAAAGACGGATAGATGTATATAGGATGCATATATATATATAATTTAAATATATATATATATATATATATATATATATATATATATATATATATATATATATATATATATATATATATATATAAACACAAGGATGTAGTCAATTTCCTTGGCCACATTTACATACCAATAAGAGACATGAAGCTGGAGTGTGCCTCAGTCTCAATGTCATTAAACACTTATCAACTGGAGTAGCTTCCGCTGCCGAAGGCTGGAGTTGGCTGGAGATGGCTATGCCTACCCCCACAGATGGTGACCATTGCTGAGGCCCGACCAGTAATAGCTAGCCATTCTGCTACCAGGCCTTGTCTGAGAGGACAGCCAACTTAGTTCTCAGTCACTTCAATAGCAAAGATAAATGATCATGTCCTAAACCCCCACCAAGACAGCTCCCCAGAGGTTGAACCGCAAGCAGTGACTCCTCTGCCATCACCGCCGACGTTGTCCCATAAAAAGGGGAACGGTAGGCTGCAGGACCTTTCGTCCACCTGTGGGATTCCCTTAGGCTTTACCCCACAGTCCACACACTGGGTTGGCGGTCACCGGGACACAGCCACTCAAGACCTGCGTCCAGGCAGTCGCCCTCCCAAGGGAACCCACAGCCCGTGTCGCTTGCTGGATGGGAGGGGCAAAGTCTTTGCTCCCGTATCACCATTTGCAAGATGCACTGCCGGCGCGTTTCATCTTTGGGAAGGCAGACTGGCAAGGATCACCTCCCCAGCCCCCCCCCCTCCCATTAACACGCCGGTGAATCATGACCCTAGGGCCTCTTACTGCTCCGATATTTTCGACACTTCGACACTATTGCACTGCGCTCAAAACCACATGTCAATGAAGCCGTTTCGCCTAAACCATCGCCCTTACCTCGGGTTGTCGATGAGCTCGCGCAGCGCCTCGAGGACGAGGTCAACCGTGATTTCCTCCCACTCGAGCACCAGGCCAAATCCGTTGTCCCTGATCTGGTCTGCGTTCCTGGGCTGGTCCGCCGTGATGGGCAGGGCGAGCACGGGCGTGGCGTGGTAGGCGGCCTCCTGCGTGCTGAGCAATCCGGCGTGGCTGATGAACACCTTCACGTTTGGGTGCGCTGGAATGGGGTGGGGGGGGGGGGGGGGTGAAAGGGGGGGGGGGGCGAATCAGCAGACGTTCGAGGGGGAGAATGAATGAATGAGTTGTCAAATGATACAATTAAGTGTCACATGAAATGAACTATTTGTGTCCTGATCGTCCAGGTATTTTCAAAACTGTATCTCTGGCATATATTCACTGCTTCGCCTAAGAGTAAAGCGTTTTACCTCTAAACCATGCCTTACCGAGAACGTCCTGCTGAGGAATCCACTTCGTCACCAGCACATTTTCAGGAACGTCGCCCACCCCCTCCACATTCTTCCACAGGACTCGCTGGTCGATCCTCCTGAATGCCTGAAGAAGGATGTCGCGATAGTGACGGGGGATGGCGATGCCCTGGTTCGTGGAGCCCAGGCTGAAGTACACGACGCCTGCAGCTCCGGCTCCGGAGATCCACGACTCCAGTTCCTGAATAGCGAAGGAATAAGCTCGAGCTCGGAGGAAGCCAACCTACCCAGACCTGACCCCAGCAAACAACCTACCTGCGGGAGGGGCTTCCCGGGCCTGCAGTGCATGCCCCCAATTTCCACCTGGTTGGGAAGCAACGGCATGGGCGTGTCCAGGCTGAAGTGCGAGTTCATGAGGGTGAGGCTCTGGTTGCGCTCGATTTCCAGCAAAGATGGTAAGCCGGGGAACTGCGCCGACAGCTGCCCACAGAATAAAGCATCGTTTTCGAAAGAAATTACGCAAATGGTAGTTCCTGTATCTGAATGAAAAAGTAATGCAGTCACAAAAACAAATTGATATACATAATTCTATAGTGACTCGGATCAAACGAAAGCAAACGAATGATGAGAGGCTGGCACAGAGAGCCCGGCCGCGAGGTGTTTACCTCGCCTTGGATTTTGTTCATGGACCAGAGCTTCCAGTAGCAGGCCGTGGTGATATGCATGAACAGGTTGAGACAACGGTGCAAGAAGCTCAGCGGCCGCGGGAGGTGGAAGACGAAGTTGTTGGCGTAGGCAGGGTTCAAGACGTTGCCGAAGGAGGCGCTTTGCACAAAGTCCACCCCGACCGTCGTGACAGTGATGTAGGGAAGCCCGAGCACGAATGGGTAGGCGACCTGCGGGGAAGGATAGCGGACGTACTCACATCTGCGGCCAGTGCGCGGGTAGACGATATATTTTTCTTAAGTAGAAGGAACTGGATTATTTTTTATTCTTGCTTTAGATTGGGGTTCTTAGTCGGTTATATATATATGTGTGTGTGTGTGTGTGTGTGTATGTGTGCGTGTGTGTGCGTGTGTGTGTGTGTGTGTGTGTGTGTGTGTGTGTGTGTGTGTGTGTGTGTGTGTGTGTGTGTGTGTGTGTGTATGTGTGTGTGTGTGTGTGTGTGTGTGTGTGTGTGTGTGTGTGTGTGTGTGTGTGTATACATATACATATACATATACATATACATATACATATACATACGGACTATATATATCCTACATGCTTCCTCACCTCGTTCATCATATGAAAGACGATGATGAGGTCGAATTCTTTCCTCCTTTCGTAGAGCTTTCTCACCTTCGGGACTTTATAAAGCTTCTTACTTGCGGCCAAGAGCTTCTTGGAGTAGATCTTGGTGGCTTCTTGGATATCATTTCGGATTCTGAACATGCTGATATTCTCCGGCCGGAAGTCGTCCAGGCCGTGGAAGACGAAGGTGATGTTCTCGTTCTTCGATTCGACGGCGTGGTTGATCAGCATCGTCACCTGCAGGGGAAGACGTCGTGGAAACCGTCACTCCCAAGTCGAGCGTGGACCTCCAGTCACTTAGCCCGCGGCCATGATAAGACATTAAGCTCTCCTTCCAGGCGCTCGTGGCCAATAGTCTACATTCACTTCGAGAATCCCCGTCAGGACTGTGAGTCTAACCCTTTCAGACGCCCCTCTGACGCCCCCCTGACCCAAGGCCTCACCTTGTGGCCCCGCTCTGCCAGGGCATCGGCAACCGACATGAAGATGTTCCTGTGGCTCGTGGAGGACATCGGGAGGAGGAACAGGATGCTGTACTGTCTCTCGGGGGGAGGCAGGTCCGCGGCCGCCACGCACAGCAAGGAAGAGCCTACGCAGGCCGCC